ATGAGTCGCCCAGTAGCAGTACCAAGTTCATCGCCAGTGAGGTGCATCCAAGTCATCGCCAGTGAGTCATCTAAGTCATCGCCAGTGACTCATCAAGTCATCGCCAGTGAGTCAATAAGTCATCGCCAGTGAGCGTCATCCAATCATCGCCAGTGATCATCCGCAAGTCATCGCCAGTGAAGTGTCATCCAAGTCATCGCCAGTGAGTCATCTAAGTCATCGCCAGTGACTATCTAAGTTCATCGCCAGTGAGTCATTCTAAGTTCATCGCAGTGGAGTCATGGCGATGACTTAAGGCAGGAACTCAGACTGCATAATCCGGCCCATAAGAATCCCATGCACGGGAAAGTTAAAGAAATCTCGGATTTTTCCCCATAGGAGAACGAAGGATTTGACAGTTGTTAACGTCGGGCGGGAAATGGCGGGTGTCCCTGTCTGGGCAAATATGTCCCGTTTTCTTTGGTGTTTTTGTTTTTTTGTTTTTCGCGTTTTTTGTGTGTTTTTTTTTTCTGTTATGTACTTCTCTTCTGTTTATCGCCGTATTTTTTTTTTTTGTGTGTGTGTTTTTTGTTGTTGCTTTGTTCTCTTTTCTTCTTCTTGCATTCGTTTTCAAGGGTTCTTTCCCTTTCTCGTTTGCACGGGAAGTCTCTCGCTGAATGAACTGGGCTTAGAGAGAGAGAGAATGGACGATGAGCAGAGAAACAGACCGAGAGACGAGGGAGGAGGAGAACAGAGAGAGAGAGAGAAGAGAGAGAGAGAGAGAGAGAGATTAGAGAAGACGAGAAGAGAGAGAGAGAGAGAGAGAGAGAGAGAGACAGAGGAGAGAGACAGAGAAGAAGAAAGCACAGAAGAAAGAAGTAAAGAGAGAAAAGAAAACAGAGACATAACTATAGATAACACCCTTGCCCCACAAAAACAAAACCCAAAAAAACAAAAAAAAAAAGAAACAGAGAGAACGAAAGAAACAAACCCCCCCTCCTCTCCCCCTCCTTCCCCCCCCCCCGGGTCGAAGCAGAAAAAAAGGAAGAAGGAAGAAGAGAGAACGAAAGATAAACAAAACCCCCTCCTCTCCCTTCCCCTCCCCCCCGGGTCGCTGCAGTTTTATAACCTAGCAATCCCTGGTTCATGACCCGGGCCAGTTCAACGGGTCGCCGGGGCTTCCAACGGGCTTCCAACGGCGCGGGGCTTCCAACGGGTCGCCGGGGGCTTCCAACGGGTCGCCGGGGCTTCCAACGGGTCGCCGGGCTTCCAACCGCCGGGGCCTTCCAACGGGTCCAACGGGTCGCCGGGGCTTCCAAGACTGTCCAACGGTCCGATGGGGCTTCCAACGGCGTCGCCGGGGCTTTCCAACGGGTCGCCGGGGGGTCGCTTCCAAGGGGTCGCCGGGGCTTCCAACGGGTCGCCGGGGCTTCCAAACGGGTCGCCGGGGCTTCCAACGGGTCGCCGGGCTTCCCGGGCTTCCAACGGGTCGCCGGGGCTTCCAACGGGTCCGGGCTTCCAAGGGGTCGCGGGGGCTTCCAAGGGGTCGCCGGGGGCTTCCAAGGGTCGCCGGGCTTCCAAGGGCTTTCCAAGGGGTCGCCGGGGCTTTCCAAAGGGTTCTCGCCGGGGCTCCAACGGGTCGCCGGGGCTTCCACGGGGTCGCGGGGGCTTCCAACACGGGTTCCAACGGGTCACGGCGTCCGGGGCTTCCAACGGGTCGCCGGGGCTTCCAACGGGTCGCCCGGGCTTCCAACGGTCGCAACGGCGTCTTTCCAACGGGTCGCGGGGCTTCCAACGGGGGGGCTTCCAAGGGTCCGCCGGGGCTTCGGGTCCGCCGGGGCTTCCAACGGGTCGCCGGGGCTTCCAACGGCGTCGCCGGGGTCTCGCCGGGGCTTCCATCGCCGGGGCTTCAACGGGTCGCGGGGATTCAACGGGTCGCCGGGGCTTCCAACGGGTCGCGGGGCTTCCAACGGTCCGATGGGGCTTCCCAAAAGGGTCGCCGGGCTTCCAACGGGTCGGCCGGGGGGGCCGGGCTTCCAACGGGTGCGACGGGTCCGGGGCTTCCAACGGGTCGCCGGGGCTTCCAACGGTCGCAGGGGCTTCCAACGGGTTCGACGGGCTTCCAACGGGTCGGCGGGCTTCCAAGGGGTCGCCGGGGCTTCCAAGGGGTCGGGGGCTTCAACGCGGTCGCCGGGGCTTCCAACGGGTCCGACGGGCTTCAACGGGTCGCCGGGGCTTCCAACGGGTCGCCGGGGGCTTCCAACGGTCCGACGGGTCCGGGGGGCTTCCCAACGGTCGCCGGGGCTCCAACGGGTCGCCGGGGGACTTCCACGGGTCGCCCAACGGGGGCTTCCAACGGGTCGCCGGGGCTTCCAAGGGGTCGCCGGGGCTTCCAGGGGTCGCCCGGGGCTTCCAAAGGGTCGCCGGGGCTTCCAAGGGGTCGCCGTGGGCCTTCCAACGGGTCGCGGGGGCTTCCAACGGGTCGCCGGGAGCTTTCCAAGGGGTCGCCGTGGGCTTCCAACGCGGTTCGCCGGGGCTTCCAAGGGGTCGCCGGGGCTTCCAAGGGGTCGCCGGGGCTTCCAAGGGTCGCCGGGGCTTCAAGGGTCGCCGGGCTTCCAAGGGGTCGCCGGGGGCTTCCAAGGGGTCGCCGGGGCCTTCCAAGGGGTTCGCGCGGGGCTTTCCAAGGGTCGCCGGGCTTTCAAGGGTCGCCGGGGGCTTCCAAGGGGTCGCCGGGGCTTCCAACCGGGTCGTCGGGCTTCCAAGGGTCGCCGGGGCTTCCAACGGTCCGCCGGGCTTCAACGGGTCCGACGGCTTACAGCGACCAGACAGCTCGTGACCCTTATTGTGTTTTTGAAAGTTAAGGAGAAGACGACGACACGAGATTCGCGCCGATTGGGTCGCGAGTGTCGGACGGGGGGGGGGGGGGAATGAGGCGGGATCAGGTTCTGGACGTGATTGGCTGCGAGTGGGCGCGCGATGGGCGGGGCGGGTGGGTGGATGGGCGTGGAAAGGGGGGGATGGGGATGGCGGGGGCGGATGGGTGGGATGGCCGAGGGAGGGGGCGAGGGAATGGGCGGAGATGGGCGGGGTCGGGCGGGGGTGGCAAGGGTGGGCGGAAGGGGATGGGAGGGCGGAATGGCGGGTGGTGGGGGGGGTCTAGCTGGGCTGCTGATATTCCTTTGATGGAAATATTGGGTTTGTGTTCCCGTTTGGGCTCTTATATATTGTATACATCATACATACATATATGTATGTATATAAATATGAATATTTATGCATCTATGTATATGACCCATAATCTGAACAGCATAAGCAAAACATTTCATCAAAAAAATGAATTATGTATATTTTTAGTTAATGCACACACGCACACACGCACACAATCGTGAACTGCATATCCGTGTGTTCACTATGAAGCCTTCCTGTCGTGTATGTTTTCCTTTGTCTTGTCACACTCCACTTACCCAATCCCTCTCTTCCTACTCCCTCTCCCTACCCTCCTTCCTCTTCTTTCTATACTTCCTCTCCCTACCCTCCTTCCCTCTCCTCCTACTCCCTCTCCCTACCCTCCTTCCCTCTCCTACTACCCTCTCCCTACCCTCCTTTCTCCTCCTACTCCCTCTCCCTACCCTCCTTTCCCTCTCGTCCTACTTCCTCCCTATATCCTTTTCCCATCCCCTCCTCTCTCCCCTTCCTCCTCTCTCTCCCCCTCGTCCCCTTCATCCTTCCATTATCATCCCTTTCCCTTCCCTCCTCTCCCCCTGTGACCCGCTCTTTCTTCTTCTCTTTCTTCCCTTCTCACCTCCATCCCTCTCCTTCTCCTCCCTATCCCTCTCCCTCTCCCATTCCCTTCCCCCTTCTTCATTTTTTCCCTTTCACTTCCCCTCAACCTTCTTTCACCCCCTCTCTCTCTCCCTCTCCTCACTAATTTCTCACCCTTTCTCCCACCTCTCCCTCACCCTTTCTCGCACTGCCACTCCTTCCTTCCTCCACCCTCTCCTCTCCCACCGCTCTCCCTCTCCACCTATCTCCACCCGTCTGTCCCCTTCCTCCTTCCTCTTCACCCTCCATCACTTCAAAATAAGACTCCTTTACCTTCCTTCGCCNTTCATCTCCTTATCATCTACTCTATATCATTCATTCATTCAGTACTACACGCATCACCACCGACACCCTCACATCCCCATCCCGTCTCTCTCTGCTACGTTGAGGTGCTCTTCTGACACACAGCTCAGCCTTTTCTCCTTTTCTCGCGATCGCCTCGGAGACGAGAGAGAAAGAGCGTATCCCTCCCTCTATCTATCGAGATGAGAAAGTACTAATCTCTGTAGTATCTATCAGGAGTCCCGCGGAGAGGAGATGGTGGATAGAAAACGAGACGTGACCTAAGAGGGGAGAGAGGCAAGACAGAGAGCTGGAGAGAGATGACTGGGAGACGATTCGAGAGAGGAGAGAAAGACAAGCAGAGATCGATAGACCAGGGACACGACGATCGGCCAGGAGAGCAGAAAGACGACGGAGAGCAGAGGATGTGAGAGAAGGACGAGAGAGGATGAAGAGGTCGTCGAGGGACGAGACGAAACCCACAGCGGGAGGGACCATGCTGTCACTTAGAACCTGGCATAAGCATCGAGGGGAGATGACGACGCAGCAAGAGGAGAGTGGAGACCGGAGAGGAGGAGACGACGAGAGAAGGAGAGAGAGCAGCAGAGAGAGAGAGAGAGAACTACGTGAGCGAGAGAGAGAGAGAGAGAGCAGAGAGAGAGAGCAGGATTACGAGAGAAGAGACTAGAGACGAGAGAGAGAGAGAGAGAGAGAGAGAGAGAGAGAGAGGACGAGACGAGAGAGAGAGAGAGAGAGAAGAGAGAGAGCAATCAGATGAGAGAGAGACGAGACAGACAGAAAGCAACAGACCAGTTAGCAGAACACACAAAAGGACGCACGCAAACGCCTCTATAAACACACCACTTCATAAAGCTCTGCAGCGCTGATCTCAGGCACTCGAAGGGGGGGGGGGTAGAGGCACGGGCAGGGGTGAGTGCCATGAAGCGGTCCGGGGGAGGGGGGGGGGAGGTGGCACCTGCAGGGGTGAGTGCCATAGAGGGGTCCGGGGCGGGGGGGGGGGTAGAGGCACGGCAGGGGTGAGTGCCATGAAGGGGTCCGGGGAGAGAGGGGGAGGGTTGGCACTGGGCGACATGCCAGGCCCGGCACTAATTGGTGGCGGCGAGATGGAAGGGAGGGAGGGAGAGGGAGAAGCCGATAATGGGAGGAGAGAGAGAATATGAGAGGAAAGGGGAGGGGGGTGGAAGGGGTATAGAGAAAGGGGGGAGGGAGAAGGGGGAAGAAGGAAGGACGCAAAGAAGGGGAGACGGGGAGAAAGAGGGGAGAATGAGAAAGGGGTGAAGGGAAAGGGGAGGGGGGGGGAGGGGGAAGGGGACTTGTCCACGATAAGATACTATGAAAAGAAGAAAACACATAGGATAAATAAGAAAGAAAAAAAAAACAAGAGAAGAACAGAATTATCAGAAAACAGAAAAAAAAATCTCAACGTTTATGACCCCCTCCCCACCCCAAGAAAGAATAAAAGAAAAGAAAGAAAAGAAAAAAAAAGAAAAGAAAAAAAAAAAACACGAAAGTAAGAAAGAAAAGAGAGAAAAAAAATTAAAACGAAAAAAGAACAGAAAAAAGAAAGAAGAAAAAATATAAAAAAGAAAAAGAAAGAAAAGAAAAAAAGAGAAAAGAAAGGAAAGAAAGAAAAGAAAAAACGAAAGTAAGAAAGAAAAGCGAAAAAAAACGAAAAAACAGAAAAAGAGAAAGAAGAAAAAGAAAGGATAACGAAGAGAAAGGAAAAAAAAAAGTTTGTACCGTAATCCTTGACTCTCCGTTCCTGAGGGTCGGTTAGCATAGCAAATGAGACAAACTTCGAAGACGAAGTTAAACTAACGACCTTTTCCTCTCGTGTTTCCTCATGTCTCTTGCCTCCTTCTCCGCTCTGGCTGGAACCATAGTCTCACTCATGTCTACGTCTGACCTCCTTCTGCCTGCTCTTGCTCCTTTTATGGAGTGGGGGCGGGCAGGTGGGATGTTGCGATCTGCGGTGCGGTGGCGAGTCAGTAGGGAGTGGTGGCTGGGAGGCGTGTGCGACACAGAGGGACGCACAGGTTAGGGGGGCGTGGCCAGGTAGGGGACTGGTCCTGGGGGCCGCCGTGGTCCGTGCCGGAGGCGGACGTGGGCGGGGCGGCGAGGGCGGGGGGGGCGTGGCCAGAGGGCGATGGGGGGGCGTGGCGGAGGGGCGGTAGGGGGCGTGCGGTAGGGGGCCTGGGACAGGCAGTGCGCTAGCCGATGCGCACTACTGGTGGTCTGATGGTCGAAGCATCGTAATAGTCCTTACCACATGGTTTACTGGTTTTGAGGGCATTGCGTACACACGCATCCATGCTATACGTACATATGTATATACACAGCGGTAAACGAAAACTGGCTAGATATAGCTTACATGAACAAAAGAGGTCTTAAACTGCTTCCTCTGTCCGCGGTAGATAGAGACACACAATTTCCTGAATGCAGCACTACGCGGTCAGTCATACTCCAGAACCGTACGGCAGACGATCTACTCTTGCGCGTTATATTTGCTTCAGACTTTCCTTCCAAAAATGTGTCTGCAATAAAGGACTCTCCCCTCTCTTTCTCTTACCTCTCTTCCTTCTTTTTTTCTTATCTACTTTCTTTCTCTTACAGGATTTTCTATACACTTACTTTTCTTAAAGTTCCCTCTTTCTTTCCTCAAATTCCTCTTCTCTCTATCTTTTCTTCTATCTCTCCTTTCCTTTCAGGATCTGATTCCTTCTCTCCCTCCTCCCTTCTCCCCCCATTCTAAAATCTTCCTTTCCTCCTTCACCTCCCCTTGCTTCTATCCTTCTTTCCTTTCCTCTAGCCCTCCCTCTCTCTCTCTCTCTTTCCTTCCTTGCAAACCTATCTCTCTGTGTGTTCCCTTCCTCCGTCTTTCTATCTCCACGCACTCCCTCCCTTCCCTCCATCGCTCTCTCCCTCCATCCTTCCCTCCACCCTCCCTCCTTCCCTCCAACCCTCTAACTTACCCTCCCTCCCCTTACTACCCTCCTACCTCCACCTCCCTCCTTCCCTCCCTCCTCAACCCCCTCACGAATTCCTTGCAAACAGCCCTGCCGAACCAACAGTGAGACTAAAAGACGATGCAAAAGCCGATACCGTCCATCCTGACCCGAAGGCGTTACAGGACAATCGCCCTTAGTGCACGAATGTCCGTCTCGGACCTGAAGGCGTTACAGGACAATCGCCCTTATTCGCGCATACACCTCCGAGGCAAAAAACAGGTCGATGTCATCTGCCTGGAACTCGTGCGGACTGGTGTTTTTGTACCTTATTTGTACCTGTGTGTTTGGGGGACGAGGAGGGGGTCGGGTCGGCGTTCGGAGGTTTTGTTCATGGTAATGGCGATGGGTGTTATATACTGATAGTGGTATTACTGGTAATGATATTTAAAATGATATACCACTAAAATTACTACTACTGCTTACTACTGCTACTACTACTACCACTGCTATTAGTATTTTCTACTACTGCAAACTACTACTACTACTACTAGTGCAACTACTACTTACTGCTACTATTACTACTACTACGACTACTACTTACTACTACTTACTGACTACTAATTACTACTACTACTTATTATATTACTATACACTTACCTACTACTACTTTACTACTTCTGCAACTACTACTACTACTATTACTACTGCCGCTTCTACTGAACTGAGCTTACTTATGACTGAAAAAAAATCTAAATAATTTATTCAGAAATGAAAAAAAACGCAAAATC